TTTTTTTTCAAGCATATGTTTTATAAGGGAGCTTCAAAGAGTTCATGGAAAAATTCCATTCTCTTTTAATTCCATTTTTCTATAAACTTTTGAAGCCCCCCCCCCTTTGTATTTTCAATGTTTATTATTGCTTTTCTTCAGAATGATCTAAAATCTTCCTGAGGACATTAACTATAGCTATCTAAAGGCTGCATTCTGTTTGCCCTAATGTCAGAATAGATGGTGTTTGGTGGATAAAAACAGCGAATAAAAGGTTTTATTTTTGAGAAAGCAGAGTTACTGGCTTTGGGAGGGAGAAATGCATGGAACACAAAGGTCTGCCTGTTAAAAAACTTTTGTTCTTAAAATTATACAAGAATGAGCAAGTTAGCTTGCCATTTATTCTAACATGGCTAACATGAGTAATAACCTCAAAAAATGTCAGAGAAACAACCATCTTACTTTAAAGAGTACCACATTGGGAAGAGATTCCAAAATCAAAGCAAATCTTTAGTTTCCATAGTAATGTATCACATATGGTTGGAAAAGTATGCTTGCCAACACACTAGGAGAACTGCTCAGTGAAAATTGATGGGTAGGAATAAATTAGTATAAGCCTACCATATTGACTTGTTAAAAGCAAAATGAAGACAGCTGTAGGATCTTTTTCCCCCTTCCACCAAAGCAGAATTAGCAATTGGTAAGTTAGTATGCCTTACAGTGAAATACAAATAATACATAACTGTTTAAGTTTTACTTTTATTCAGTTCTTTTTTTGCCAGGTCTAGAATTTGTCATTCTGTGTTTTTGAAACTAACACAAAGCCTGTGGAAATTTGTTTCTGTTTTCTTTTTCATTTTGTTTTTCTACAGAGACCCTCCATATTAAGATGAAGATGTCTAATTGAAAGGAGTAAGTTATGTATGGAGTCCTGGTGTGGCACTGTTGGATAAACACTGGATTGCAAACCACAAGGTTGGCAGTTCAAACCCACCAGCCACTCCTTGGAAACCCTGTACAGGGTCGCTATGAGTTGTAACCAACTCAACAGCACTGAAAAATATCAACAAGTTATGTACACCTGTCTCTTTGTTTGGATGTGAAATTTTAAGTCTTCAGTGGCATTTGTGTTTTGTTTTAGTTTTGACTTTGAAAGCATGGAAAACACTGTGGAGAGCTCAGTGGACAAATCAAAGCCCTGGAGTAGGTCCATTGAGGACCTGCACAGAGGAAGTAATCTGCCCTCACCTGTGGGCAACAGTGTGTCCCGCTCTGGAAGACATTCTGCGCTGCGGTAAGTTCCAAAGATTTGGTAGGATACAGAACAAGCGTTCCTCGCTTCTCTTGATGAGCCTGGGTGATATACTGCTATATCTTGCCACACAGCACTTTCATTTTCAGTGATTCCAAATAAATGTGTCTTTAGGTGGTCATACGATCATCACTCAGGTGTACCCTGTAACTTTTAATAGCTTCAGAAAATACCAGACTTTCATTCAGCATACAAAGTGAAAAAATCCGCTGCCAAATGATTGCATGGCAGTCCCCATAGGCAGATAAGTTTCTGAAACCAGGTGTATGTTGACATTGTAATTTAGGCGCTGTTTCCTGGGTAGAGGCAACACCTGGGATTTGAGTATATAAGAGCTCCTTGTTTACCATTCATTCCCTTCTCCTCCTCTTTCTTTCCCCTGTGGAGGCTCAGATGTGCTCTGTGTCAGTGTGATCTCTTGGGACATGGTTTTTGTCATAGATGCAAAATGCTGGATTGATAATTAACAAGATGTCTTTAAGTAATGTTTCTTTATCAAGATATGCTTTCATTATAAACCTAAATTTCCTACTAAGGAATCCTTCTCTAGCTTCTTGTATTAAGGAAGGATGTTTTTACCACTAGTACAACTCTAACTATATGTCAAGGATTCAATTTACAGAATACATTTTAATTTGGTTTTCCATCCTTTCTTAACCTGGAAAGTATCATATATTTGCCAATTACTGCCTTAATATTTATCTAATCAGTAATTCATTATGTCTATTTCTGAGTTACTGAAGATTGTATTGTTTCCAGGGTGGAAGGATCTGGAACATATGGGAGGCATTCCAGGTCAAAAGAGAGATATAACCCAGAGGGATATAACCTTAAATGGTAAGGAACAGGGATACAAAAAGCCAGCTTGATCTGCTTCACAGTTAGCTCAAGGTGTATCCTGCTATAACTCAATTTAAATTGGAAAGAAACACCACAAGTATGAAAATAGAGCAAGTGGAAAAGCTATCCTGAAAAACACCGAACTACATGACATTTCTGGTTGGCAGGTGTGCTCGAAGATGATCAACTAAGAAACCAACATCATGTTCTCTTTGTGTATGAATTGTTTCAATCACAGGAATGGATCATTTGAATCTCCTTACCTCAGCTTCCTGGTTTCTAGTAACTTGAGAAAGTCAATATAGTGATAACGTTCATGCTGCTTGTTGACTTAAAGTTTAGGGTTTTTTAATTTATTAATTAAACAGTGCATGCCAGTGACACTCCAGTTCTGTGGTTCATGGATTTGTACCTGGATTCTAATTCTGTGTTTGGTTATTTGATAGCTCTGTGACATATAAACAGGAACCAGAAGTACACACACGTGGTACATGTTGCTTTTCATATACCCAAAGATTGTTCACATTTTGTTTTCTCTTCCTTGTCTCCCTTTCCTTCTCTGCTCCCCATGCTTACTTCACTTTTTGCCTTTCTTTTTGTTGTTCATTTTTCATTCTGCCATCTCATTTCTTACTGTCTTCTCCTCCTCTTTTTGTCCTCTCTCGTAACTATGGCCTCTTCTTCCTCTGGTTTCATTCATCTCTTACACCCCACCAGATTGGTTTCTCTGCCTGAGTATCTTCACCCGAGCTGCTTCTCTGTCTCTGGAGCAGCTTCACTTTACACACTGATGATGAGGCTTCAAACTGGAAAATCTTGTAAGTCACGGGTGAAATGACACCCAGGAGAGCTCAGAGTGCATGATGGCAGAGTATTCCAGCTGCCCTCCATGTTATAATATGATAATCTCAAGATTTAGCACTATCAGCCTCTACTGGGCAAAAGCTCACACTGCCTCTTAAGTGGATACATACTCTGTTATCATATTAGAATTCCTTATTTTAAAATTTTGAATCTCTAAGATATACTGTATTATTATTTATGTTACAAATCTTTGGGTGTGAAAGACAAAAAGGATATTCTTATTTTATAGAAATTCTTTATTCTGATATCTTTGTTTAATTAGCATATTCTTAATATTCAAATGTAGATTTCAGCTCTCTGATCCTAATCTCAAGTTAATAATATTGCTACAGTAATCTTATTTTATATACCTTGACAAAATGTATTGGACAAAATTCAGTGAAAAAAACACACAAAATTTCAGGAAATTAAAAAGCTTTATTAAATGGTGCTTGATTGAAGAAAAAGAAAGATAATTCTGTTCTGAAATACCAGGTTAAGACAAAAATTCCAGTATTTACATGCATTCTTCACTTTGTATTCAGACTTTATTTTCTAACTATTTAAAACGGGAATTTTAATACATCATAGTTATCTAGAATTATATCAACTATTTGATTTTTGAACTATAAATTTATCATCTTGGCCAGATGTAAAAATGTTTTATAAATGCAGTGGAAACCTGGGTTGGACGTTTTTTAAACTTAGAGACTGGTGTATATTTAATAATTGAGATAGATTTTTGTCAATGTGGCTGCAAATCTAGCTAAGATACATGATGCTGTATGTGAACATAGTACACATTAGATCTATGAAAACCAAGGAAAAAGTAATTTAAAAATTTTTAAGGGCATTAAGGTTAATGCTGTTAGATTTGGTTAAGGAATGACATACTTAAATGCTCCAAATCTTTAAAGAAAGGATTGGAGCACTATTGTATGGTCTAGCAGAAGGGATGGAACTCAGACTGTGACTCTAGGTTGGTCTTCAGGGTGAGCAAACGTTGCTCCTGCTGTGGTGGAGGTGGTGGCACCATCAAAGCATGAATGACACTTGATATCAGAGATAGGCATGTTTGGGAATGAGGGAGGCACTGGCCTTTCGAGAGGGCTTTTGGTGGAGATGGAGGCTCATACGGAGAGCCGGGATCATAGATACAGGCTGGAAAGGCGTTGGAGGTCATTCTGACTGATTTTAGCTGTGCTGAGGAAACCGAGGCCCACCTTGCCCTTAATATATTAAGCACTACTAATATCTCTTCTTGAAATCCCCAGGATTAGAATATTTCTATTTTTTCCCTAGAGATTCTTATTTTTAAAAATGGCATTTACTGACTAGTCAGTGTCATTGTATGACTATTTCCCACCTGTATACCTGTATACTCCTGGTGTGGTGCTATAGGATCAGTATTAGACAAGGTTGGCAGTTGAAACCCACCAGATGCTCTTGAGAAACATATACAGGGTCACTATGAGTTAGGATCGATTTGACAGCACTAAACAACAACATATTTAGTGTGTATACATAAAGAGATAAAGAGTTCACATTTATGACTTTGTTAATACTTTTTTTTTAAAGTTTTTATTGAGAAGTGAATGATAGTTTGCATGAGAGAACATCAACTTTACACCATCATTTCATTGCAATGATTACAATCTCCTCCATGCATCATCATTCAACAGTATTTGCTTCCATTCCCTCTGTTTTATTTATTTATTTATTTTTTGGGTGGACGGGTGGGATGTACACAGAAACACTTAGGAATCTAAAATAATTTAAACAACCAAATGGTACATTCTGCAGGCCTGCCTCCTGGCCGCCAGCACTCAGTTCCTCTCTTTCTGTGAGTCCAGAGTGCTCAGCTACTCTCTCTCTCCACATCCTCATCTGTGCCTTCATCTCTGGTTAGGGTTCCGCACTCCACGACGTGTACTCTCTCCCTTGATGATCCTAGGGTACTTTGTTTCTGTTGTTGATAAATTTTTAACACAGTAATTACATTCCTGGCAATGTTCTTCAAGAAGCTGATTTTTTAAAAAGTATTTATAAGTGAGCACAAATACACACAATTGATGTAATTCTTAATTGGAGCAGAAATCTTTTCTTTTGTATTCTCTGCTTGCCAGGCACTGTTCTGAGAGCCTTTTGTGACTTACTTTTCATAATGCTTCTATGAAATAGCATTATTACCACTAGGCAGAAACTTAAGTAGCTAAGATCAAAACATTACATACAGGAGGCAGAATATAAAATAAGTTAGTTTGAGCTGCATTTTGGTTAGAACCATCCTCTTGCCAAAGTGTCGAACACAAAGAGAAAGAGGAAGTCACTAGCTCCATGTTCTCCAGGCCCTTTAGAAAACATGGAATTGTTCCTTTGACCACATATATGCAAATCTACAAGAAAGGTGACAGTGTGCCCATCAACTGAATGGTCACAGTTCCAACAGGGATGTCCCACAAATGTTACCACAGCAGAACTGGATACATCGTGACCCAGAATGCTGTCAGCATTGTGAACAAATGAGGGCAAGATTTTTGCCAAGAGAATGAATATGCATATTGAGTATATTAACACTCTAAGAGCTGATGTAGCTTTCTGAAGCACGTGAAGGAAAATGAACAGAAAAAGAAGAAGCCAAAGAGAAAGGTACCTGGGTTCAACTGATGTGTCAGCCTGCTCCTCCTAGAGAGGCACACTTTGTGAGAACCAGTGAAAGGGAGCCTGAGCTGCTGGAACAAATTCCACATGAATCCATGGTATAACAGGTATAAAACAAAAATGCCTGGGATGTACAAATATTAGGTCTTTGGTTTTATTGTGTAGAAATGTGAAACAACAACAACAACAACAGGTATAAAACAAAAATGCCTGGGATGTACAAATATTAGGTCTTTGGTTTTATTGTGTAGAAATGTGATACCCTCTCCCCTAAAGAAGTTGTAGTTAAAGCACATGTTGTTCCCCAATTCCCTTGGTAATAAATGTGTTTACTGTTATGGGGAAAGGGAGAGTTGGTTTGAACCCGAACTCATTCACTATAATATTCTATATATTATTGGTTTTCAAAGTACTGTGGAGTCAGTTTCCAATCATAATGACTGTGTATAGGGTTTCTGAGGAGTGGCTGGTGGGTTTGAATTACCATGCTGGCAGTTAGCAGTCCAGTAATTATCCCTACCAAAACTTGACAGAACTATTTATTTATTGTTGAATGCCATCAAGTTGATTCCAACCCATAACAATCCTGTATAGGGTTTCCAAGGAGTGAATGGTGAGCTTGAACCATTGGCCTTGTG